TGAGAATTATCCTTCGCAGTTTGGTATTTAAGGAGCTTGTAACGAGTCGTAACACTTCCCCTACTATCCCCAAATGCTAATCTTGCAAAATCTTCGTAGAATTCAATGACGCTATCATCGTCTAAAAGTTCCGCGAGGAAGATCGGTTGAGGTTTACTACCCGTGTTCGAGTCGACAAGGTTTATGGGACGCATTCTAGGAGTCGTGAAACTTCCTCGACCTGAACTTCCTGAAGACGAGGCACCGCTATTTCCTGTATTAATATTGAGATTCGGTTCGTTGCCTAGGAGGACTTCTTTTCTCCATCCAGTTAAGAGGGTAAATTCTTTATTGACAGCGGCTATTTCTCCAGTCCTCCGACAGACTAGCGTCGGCGTGCAACAATTCAACATGAAATCTTCATACTCGAATAGGGTCCTTTGAAAACACTTCTCCATAAAGACCAAATCTTGTCGATTAAGTGTTTTTGTACAAGAGATGAAGGATGGTCGAATGGAAGCGAGCGATTTTGCTATTCGAAGTGTCTTGTTTGGAGAGAATCGCTTTTGGATGAAAGCAGTCAAGCTATGAAAGCCAGTAGTGTAGGAATACGGTTCGTGAACTGTATCGTAGATAGATGAAGGATCCCTATTCCTCTTTCCAAGAGCTGATGATGGTCCAAGCTTTCCGGATGGTCCAGATTTCGTGTCTTGTCGTTTTGCTGGTCTGTGAGCACCTGGTGGTGCTGGGTAATTAGTAGTAGTCGGTGAGCTCTCAAATCCCATTGTACTTGCCGCAGGACTTGCATCAGTGCTAGGGCTATGTTGACTACCACCTGTTGCTATTGCGTACGCGTGAGGCAAACCGTGATGTAAGTTACTGTTGGCGAAGACATTTCCTCCATTTTGTCTGTCCATACCTACAGCAAAATCCGGTAACGCATCGTGGGAATAGATTTGATTGAAGGGCGGGTTATTGTTGAATGCTGGATTGTTGTTATAGCCTAGATCGCCAACATTCTGTGGCATCCCTGCAGATGAATCTTGTGGTGGTGTTTCTGCTGAGCCCGATGCCATATGCCCGAGCATTCCAAATTCTAGTGCTCCATAGTGATTTCCAAAATTCAATCCTTCTAGGTCAAAGTTAAACAGTGCCGGATTACTAGGGTCGAAAAATGCACCACCACCAAATGCCGCATGAGAATCATTTGAAACTTGCGGCAGAGAAATTCCTTGCATTCCAGCCGGTCGATTTCCTACTGTATGGAAAGTTGGAGATATCGGCGACGGTTGATTACTTCCAAAAGAGAGTCGATTCTGCAATGGCGGTGGCATTTGACCTTGTTGATTAGCTGCAAAAAGTGGATAAGATGGCGATGTATCAGGCTGGGTGAAAAAGTTTCCCATGCCAGTTGAAGGTTCCGTTGGAGTTGATGCCGCTGTTGCTCGGTTGTTGCTCACTTGCTGATTGTAAGTTGGTCCTAAAACAGGTCTAAGAGCTTCCGGTGGAGCATCGTGAAGATACTTTGCTTTCTTCCTGACGCCATCCTGGCAAGCATCTGCTAAACCTCGTTTTATACAACGTTGACATGGACGCTCGTCACCTATTGAATTCATTCTTAGCACATGTAGCAAGTTCACTGAAAATGTTGAAGATGGTGATAAAAATGTTGAAAAAGTTGATGAAATGCAAGGCTTTTGGCACCGAAAAGAGCCTGAAAATGAAGCCTTGAGAAAAACAAACATACCACAAGTTAAATGAGCTCGTTGACAAGCAAAACAAGCTCTTCTTGCCTTCTTTCTTCTAGGTCTCAGCGGATCTTTAGGATCGAACTTTGGTTTTGTAGCTGTAGCTGCTGCTCCCACAGTATTCCCATTCTCATCACCGTCCGGTCTTACTTTTTGTTCCGCCATTTCCTGATTATCGTCCTCTTTTCCTACAACATCAAGCTCTTGCTCATGATCACTATAATCGTTCTCCGAAGCGCCATCCGAAACCTCAGGATCATCTATCTCAGTTTCTCCCGACATCCTGTCTTAAATACCTCACTTGGTACTTGTGCAGAAGCTAGCTCGTTTCTGCGACACCACACCCCAATCAATAGAAGCCCCAGTCAACCTCCCTCGCCAATCCTTGGAGAGGAGCCCTGCTGCAGCAGCCTCGTCGCACAACCAAGGCAACACAGGATGGTGCCGTGAACCGCCCGTCCAGCAACAATGCACAATGACCTTGTTTCCTCACTCCCACACTTCCAGCGCACACTTCTACCACCTTCTTGCGTCTGCGAGCAATCTTAATGCCACAAAGGGTAATCCTAGCGATGCTCCGAAATAAATTCTTGCCGCAATGTAAGTACCCGCGTATTTCAATCCCTTACCACGTTTCGCCGCGTGCCTATCCGAGCACCAGCACGCGTTCGCATGCACCGCTATTTGACCGGCTCAATTCACTCTTCCGTAAATCCTTCCCAGAAACCAGGTAGGTTTGCCCGACTCGGCCGCTCCGTATTTCTCGTAATTTACTTGAATCCAAAATCTCACCCCCTTCCCTTTTTTGACAATCTTGCTTCGATTCTTAATTTTTTCAACCAATCCAAAACCTAGATAGTCCCTCGCAAATCACTACATCCACACATGTATAGTCACGCGGAGAAGCTACTCCTTCCACCAAGCCTCCTCTCTCGTGCTGGAGGGAATGCGCAAATGTAATAATCGAACGCTGTGTTACTGAATAGTGCTGCAAGTATCCGCGAGCTAGTCTCACTGTAATCGCATTGATGCCCAAATAAAATGCCTTTCACTACTGATGCAATTGAATTATCCTATCCCTTTCTGCGTATCACTTCAAAATCGATATATTGGAAATGGGTATTCGCCGTTCTTTGTAATTCGAGCGGTCAAGGCTTTGTGTATTCCGTTTTCAATTGGAACCTATATAAATCTTTTTTTCGCCTCGTATGGAAGAGATTTGGAAATGTTGCAGATTAACACGGCGGGGTTCGATGAATTGCGAATTGAAATTGCACTTAGCTTGTGTGCTCGGGCGGATGAAAGGATTTTGAGAGGAAAGGTGGTGGTGGTGGTGATGGTGGTGGTGGGTGTTGGATGGTTGGGTGGTTGGTTGGGTGGATGAGTGGATGGGTAGAAACGGGGTAAACTGAGATGAGGATATCAATTGGTTTCTTTAAGTTGGATTTGAGTTTTGATTTTGACCCGATCAAACAAATTACCTTTGAAAATGGCAAATCAATAGAAGATCTTTGTACTCAAGTTTGAATCAGACAGAGTACAATATCAGTATCAGTATCAGTATCACCCAAACTTTTTTTTTCTTTAAAGCTTGAACGCCGCGTGGCAGGAACGAGGTTTGTTGTTGCAATTATTGCGTCTTTTGTGTCTTTTGGTCTTGTTGCGCGGGGAAAATTTTAATGTTCATCAGATCAAGCACAAGAAGCTTTTCCCCAAAAGAAAGTTGAACGGGTAGAACTAGTGAGTAGTGTCGTAATAGATAGATGGGTGAATGTGATATTTTACTATAAAGCCACAATTGAGATTAGTTAATTGCACAGCCACATAATTAAATAAAAAGATTGAATGAGGATTAGACTTTTGATATTGCGACAATTTCATTGAACAATCTAATGAATTTAATTTTCATACAATGAAGTTGTCAAATCTCAAAGATATCGAGTATGACAAGCTCTTTATAAAGTCTATTTGCTTGGCTTACTACACTATACACTCACATAATACATTCATTACCAAAATACATATATATTACTCTGTACACAAGACATATTTAAATCTTAAATTAAAATAAAATCGAATTCAGCAATTACTAACAATTCCCCTTCCTTCAAAAAGCTAAAAGCTAGGAAAGCAAACCTTCCTTCTTGTGAACTCGAGCAAGTAAGCAACTAACAAAATTACTCTACTCCTGCTCCTACATTGCATATGCATTCATACATTATACATCATACATCATACATCATACATTAGCAGCAAACAGTAATACATACATACATATACATACTCCGTACATAATCCACCCATCCACCACCCACAAACCATCAACCAATCCACTCAACCGCAGCCATCCAACCAAGCCATCCCACCCAAACAAACAAACGAACCATCTGTCACAAAACGTTCATCTGCAAAAAGAAAAGCCGACTCGCTACTCGCTACTCGCTACTCGCTTCCCACTTCCCACTTCCCACTTCCCACCTCTCACTCACCGACTCCATCCATCCATTCATCCATCTAACCAATATCCATCCTCTCACCACCCAGCTACCACGTATGCGCGTTCTTGACCCAAAAAGTGCTAGCCGGTAATGCGTACCCAAACACCGTATCACCAACGTCCCGTCAACAACCAAACAAATTCCGTTCCATCCCCATGGTTCTCGATTATTGTGGAAATGGAACAAAAGCCATCACGGATGAAAAAGAAAAGAAAACAAAAGAACTCTTCAACTACTGCTACCACTATTACTACTCATTACTACATACATGCATATATGGGTAACACACTTATCTCCATCAATAACTTTCCAGGGCAGGGGGTCACATGTCCTTCCAATCTATCACATCCAATATGTATATGATATAGATATATGCGAGCCATGAGCAGTGAAGGACAGGATCAGTTATTCAAGGTACACGATAGATGAAGTCGAGGGATCCATTCACTCTATCTTTAGAATCTGCTCACGATGCTTGGATGGACGATTGTGCCGTTTCGCTTCGATAGGTTCTGAATGAAGTGGGAACAAGATTTCGAGTTACGCTACAGCTCGGCAAGAGTGCGTTGCGACGATGGGGTGGTTGGGGGTTGAGTAGTTGGAAGGAAATAAAGAACCCCCAAACATGTGCTACCAGTGACACATCTTATTAGCTCTTCACATTTCCATTGGAAACCGTCTCTTGTTTTCATCTTGGCTTCATTAAACAATGTCTTCGATTGGGGGTATATACTATATGATCCTTCGTTTCTATGAACAAGCGGCCGTTGACGTTAGAAAAATCGACGTTTTTAATAATGCAATAACTGGTTCTCGCAAATCCAAACTCAAATAATGCAATGTTTACCCATCATCCAACGCTACTTTTTCTGTACTCCAAAGTGCAGGCCAATGAGTCGAAAGCCCATGTCCAGATTTATATTAACTGTCGTTGCATGTACCGCTGAAAGAAAGTCACATCACGCGGTAGCAAAACGACTATGGCCCCTGATCCTCCTCCCGTATTTGAAGAAGATGTAGGGGAAGGGCGTCATGACAAGCGTCAAAAACGCCAAAAGACTCGTTGCCCATTGATCGCCGAGCTTGTGATACATTTGGATACCAAACAGCGGAAAGATGGCTACCCAGCTTCAGCCTCAGCATTTATTCTCCTCGAGTGCATAGGTGACTATTCAGGGGATTTCAGGTTTGGTGGACTTACCTCCGAAACTACTTCTCATGAAACTATTCGCTGCTAGGGAGCTGGCTGCATAGAGTGGATATGCATCGACTAGGAATGTGAAGATGCCAGTAAAGACAAGAAGGGTTCTGCATGAATCCCAGTCGGTTAGCTACTTCGAAAGTACTTTGGTGCCACATGAAATGCGTGTCATGTGAGACATTCATCGAGTCCATCGACGACTCTGGCATGAGAGAGAAATCAAAATCTAGCTTCACATTTCCCAAAGAAGACCAGATATGCAAAAACAAATGACAAAGATCAACTACATGCAGGAACGAAACACACAAGACCCGCCTACGCCACTTCGGCGATGGAACGTACACGGTTCGGGGACCTAACAGGAAACCTCCTGAGACACGAAATTTATCATTTATGGTGAAGAAATTTTACCACTTACCCCATTGCGAAAATCCCTGATCCAATAATAGGAAGAACCCAATGAACCGATGAATATGTCGTCCACGCAAAGAAAAACAAACCGATAGGAACGAGACAGGCTCCAAGTATGGCAGGAGGCAGACGATATTCAGGTTCGGATCCACCGACTTCTCCTGTCATTTGTTCTCTCTGTTTGATGAGTCTTGCATAGTTCTTCTGCCAGAAGGGGTCAGTTGCCGCCCCAAGCACCATACCTATGAACAGCCCTAGGAACGCCAGTCCAACTTGGTATTGCTGAAATCCGTGATTACCCTCGAAAACAAGGGGGAAAGCTCCAAAGAATAGGTAGAGAATACCGAGCAGGATAGCTGAGAATACGCAAAGGTTTAGACACATTGGTTCAAAGATTAATAATTGGCCTGGTCTGAGGAGCGAGTAGCCAATAGTCTTTGGAATCGACTTATTGAGCCGTTCATTAGGTGCATACCAGCGGTCATCACCAGTCTCTTTTCGGATTTTGCGAGCTTTAGCTCTCAGAACGACTGGATGAAAGGTTTCCGGTACGAGGGAAAAAATCAAACTTAAGTTGCAGGCTGACCAGATGATGAGGACGTAGAAAGTCCAACGCCATGTGGTAAATTGATTGATGAATCCAGAAATCAATGGACCAAACGATGGACCTATGAATGGAGATGCTGTATAGATTAGCATAGGGGCTTGAAGCTGCTCTCGATTAAATAAATCTCCCACGGTGCCTCCTGCAACGGAGAGAAAGGCGCTTCCGGATAGACCACAGAAGAATCTCGCTATTATCATCGTCTCTATGTTCTGCGCTACTGCTGAGGGAATAAGCCATATTAGGAAGAAAGTGAAGGAGCAAATATAAATTGGACGACGACCATAGAATTCACTATGTCATGTGAGTATGGTATGTTGATGGAGGAATGTCTCAAGGTAGGTATGCTTACGAAAGAGGTCCAAGCAACATAGGTCCAAGCCCAAGCCCAAGGATAAACATGGAGAGTCCGAGGGTCGCAACTTCTCTCGAGCAATGGAATTCCTTCTCCAGCTGAGCATACGTACTAGTATACATCGATGACGCACAGGTACTAATTAATATGCAAGTCAGATTAGCATCCTTGACAATCCACGTTTTTCAACTCAGCCCTATGTGTTCTCCTTGATACCAAAAAAGTGAATTTTGACATCGACCAAAAAATCAACGGATAAATTCTTCCGAAAGTGTCCAGCGCACAGGAATATTTTGGGCAGAACATTATAAAATATCGGAAGAACCTACACACAGAATGAACTTGCACTGACAATCAAAACTACCAGCCATTTTCTTCCATGAGCCATGCTTCTTGGACACATTGGATCACTATCGCCACCGTCGAATCGAACCTCGAACGGATCTTTCTCATCGATTCGTTGCCCTCCATTTCCACCTGCACTACCATCCCATGTATTGTCCGGATCATGATCATCACAACCAAAGCCATTAGAAGAGCGCGTTCGTGCCAGCGGATTGCTCCGACTACCCTTCGTGTTCATTCTCGAGATGGGTATATCAGTAGGTGTAGCTCTGATAGGCCCAAAATCCATGTCATTTTCAATTGTGATATTCGAGTCTCCTGAAGTTGAGATGGGAAGTTTCTCGTTCTCTTCTTCTTCTGTTGGATCAGACATTGTGGGATGAATTTGTGGTTGTTCTTGTGGATTGAAGGTATATATTCATTCAATCGAGGGTCTGTTTGCGAGAGATGCGATTGGAGCTGCGATTGCCTGGATGTATTGTTGAGGAGCTTGAGTTTTCTAATTCACTATTGAAAACGAATTCATAGTGATTGATAGGTATTTGGTGAATATTCTTTTGCATACATTCACTAGCAAGAGAAATACTGGGTCTAGATATATTTGAGTAAATAAACATGGCTGGTGAACGAGATACGATCAAATACTTCCTCCACAGCTCCCCTGTTATTTTGGAGAAGCTAAGATAGCTTTTAATCAGCAAGGAATACGGAGTACATAATAGATCCATATCTCATCCTTGTCATGAGTTTCCCTTTTGCTTGACCGATTTTCTGGAGCCGGGTCCGCCATCAAATGGGATCGTTTTGAAAACTGTGCATGCAGAATTGCCGGTATTTTGTCAGTAATTTGAGGAGAAAGTGGGGGACGGATATTGCGGGTTTCACGGGGAGTTAAGCTCGTCAACTGCGTCAATAGATTGTGCTTATTGATTGCTTGCTCTAGAACTTGTCGAGATCTTGCCCAATTCTCAGAATTGGAATCTCTCTATGTTTTGCTTCCAAAATTTCAACATGGCTATTCTGGCTTCAATTGAAAAGTTACAATATATGGCACACTTAATTCTTCTCGGATCCCATGGAGTTCCAGGTTTTTATCCGATATCCGAACTTCCTCTCAAAGCCAGGCATCTTCCGACTCCCGAGACTGCCCCAGAATAAATAAAAGACCCGTTAGCTGATGGATTCCGCTTCCGCCACGCATGTAATTTCAAGCATCCGTCTTGTTTCTATGGGAGTTTATTGTGCGGATAATCTTGAGAATCTGTAGAATCGTCGCGCAGATCTCTGCATTCAAACTTTCGAAATGTCTCTAGGAGATGGGGAGTTCTATACGTTTAACTGCTGGCTAGTAGGCGTTTATTAGCGGGAATCTTAGGATATTCTGCTATACGGTGAAAGAGTTTCAATCTCGCTGGCGTCTGCATACTGGAGGGCTAGACCAAGGATGAGGAGGGGCACGGATGGAGCAAGTTTTTCACCAATGTAAGCCCAAGTTTTCAATCCACCGAGAACTTCTTGAACAGTCTGCAGTCTATTTCAGGGGGTGATTCGTGGATCGCCTTGGCGTTATCGAATTGACGAGTTTAAAGTACGACAATTATTCTGTACTATGTGGTCTTAAAAGCAGTTGAGTTGTATTCCAGTGATTATTCTTGAAGCTCTTAATAAATCAGCACGTTTTTTTGGTCGTCGAAAGGGGAACCATTAGCCAAACTAACATGCCGGCGTTCTTTTAGATTTGTGCATCTAAGACACTTACTGGCTTCTTCTGTCAGTGGCTCTTGATGAATACACAAGGCATCTGCCCTAAGATGAGTTTCTGATGTAGAAGGCGCCCTGTGTGTGAATTTCAACTGGAGTTTTGACAGCCGCTTCATACGACAAAACTTGAGAGCATCTAGGGGATTCCTACCAGTCCTCCCGGGCGCTCCGCCGGTAATGATAGGGGTTGACGGTAAATCTTTGAAGAGTTATCGGATGCTGCTTCACCAGCGAACTATCCCTCATCATAGAAACATTGCCCCATGTGTAGAGAATGTGCATTAGACTCAGGCTTATCTACCAGAGAGACATATTCGACTGTACATACAACAACCTCATCAATCCGTTCTGTTTCCCCAGGAATAATCTTAAGCACTGGATGATATAATCAAGCGCTCTATAGACAGCACCGGCCATGCGGTCCATATGCTGACGGGTGTAGATAGCAGAAGGTCAAGGTCCGACGATATAATTTATTCCAGAAATAAGCATTAGCCTTTGTACACTCAAAGAATTCGTTGCTTGTAGAATCCATTGCATATAGAACTCAATGTCATTTTGATACCTGATCAAAAGAGAACCATGATCACAAGAGGTCAAGGATTGAAACATAAACGGAAGAAGGGACTTTGGAAGAAGAAAATGGTGGCTCGAAAACAGTAAAGTGACTTTAGTACCCCGCACTAACCTTTTTAGGACTAGTCAAAATTAAATACTTTCACTCCATCAATTTATTCTCAACCTCAGCTGCTTCATTTTCTTTCACTGACAGTGCCATTATTGAAGGTAACTGGTGTCTTCCTTTGCATGTAGGTATTTCCAAGGATATTATGAAATTTCTTTCTAGTTTCCAACTGTTGTCGGTGGAGTCTTCCTTGAAGCTTCTTGGAGGCCCTCCGGAATTTCTCGCCGTTTTTGCTCCCCGTTCTAGAAATGGCTTGCCGTTGACTCAAAAGGACAAGAGTATTTCTACGCCATCGTCAGTTTTTGACCTGCAAGTCCACCTGATACATGCTTAGTTCTCTTGTCGATGCAATCATTGTTCAAGTGCTGCATCTTAACATGGAAAATTCCATGTTTGATCAAAAGGACTAAGAAGTATTGGGACTAGCATACTTCGTTCAACACGTATTGATTTTCTCATTTTCACTTCGTTTTTTGGCCATACCATACCAAAGCCAGGGTGGCTTTCTTTGGGATTACTCACATGTTTATGATGATCATCATCATAGTTTGATCATATCCTTGTCTGCATCCACCTTATGTGGAAGTTCCTTCAACCCTTCAACATATAAATATGATGCTCATCTGCTCCCTTCCCTTCCATTCTCCGTCCATCCCCTCCAGAAAACTCTTCTTTTTTACCTACACTCACATTGCTAGCTCGTCCACAGCTACTCGTTATCGAAGCACTTCTTCAATTAGCAAGACACAGAAACTCGTCTAGTCTACATCACAGCAGAAGTCAAAGATGGCGTCCACTGATGTTCTTTCTCACACCCTCTCCTCCATTACATCCATTAAGCTCGAAGAGATTTCAAGCCAGAGATCTGCATTCGAGAAAGGTAAGGCAGACCTTCTCCAAGCAGTGTCGAATGAGCCCAAGCAAAGCGAGAAACTCCGCATCTTGCTGGATAACATTGAGGAACTTGCTTCTATGGGCAAGCTCAAAGATAAAAAATCTATCTCTTTGTCAAACATTCGTATTTTTCTTCAACAATCTCAGCATGACCCATCAGTTTCGGAAGACCTTCTCAAGGATTGGCAAGAAAAGCTCGAGAAGGAGCTCGACATTCATTCGTTGAAGTATGAATATGCCTCGCTGTATGGTCGCCTTGTCAATGAATGGCTCTCGGCCTCAGAAGATAATGCCGCGTCTGATAACGGCTTTGAGAGCGTCCGCCGAAAGGAGATGCACGAGCAGCGGCAGAAGTGGGAAGAGTTTGTGTTTGAGCCTTTAGAAACTGATCCCGCTGCCATTGAGTCATACCTCACCAAGCTCTTCACCTCGACGGATGACATTAAAAACGCCTGGCATGAGCTGCGACATCAGACCACAGTTTTCGAAAAAGAAATGGAGAATCAAACGCACTTCGACGAGGACTCCCTAAGATGGGTGATCAATGGTCTCCTCCGTAGCGATCTTCTTACCGACGAAAAACGCGCCATTCTCAAGGACTTTCAAAGCAAAAAGGTCGTCCTCGCTGAAGTCGCTGACGTCTTAAATATGCGTATGTCTTCACTCGACAAGTGGAAATGGGCCTCGGAAGGAACACCTGTGGAACAACGGCGCCAAATCAACGGCCGCTACCGTTTTTACCACGACGAAGATCTTCTACAAACTATTCTCCTCCGTTACATTGGCGTGAAGTGGTCGGTTTTTTTCAAGCAAACGCTTACCACGTTCAAAAACTCCTCCAATGTCTGGGCTAGCTTGTCTCCACAAGTTCCAAAAGCAGATAAACTCAAGCGCGATTACTTCCTTGGTCACTCTCACGACCGTCTTGGAAACGTCGAAGCTACCAGAGAACAACACTTCAATTCTGATATCTTCCTCGAGCAGCTCCAACATTCTCCGGAAGAACAACGAGGCGGCTACGCCGATGACGACGCAGAAAATGCAAACGATACACGTAGATCCCCTACAAAAATCACTCAATCAGTGCTCCACACTCTGGCCACAGAAATTATCATGCAAACTCGTTTCGGCAACCCTTTGACTGTCGTCCGTTCCGATTTCACCTGGTTTGGTCCTTCTCTCCCTCATACGAGTATGTTCTCCGTATTATCCCATTTCGGCGTTTCCACCAAATGGTTATCATTTTTCCGCCGTGCTCTCGAAGCGCCCATGGTCTTTCCCTCCGATGGACCATCCGCTCCTGTTCGCATTCGCAAGCGTGGGACTCCAATCAGTGGCCCACTGAGTGATATGCTCGGCGAAACTGTCCTCTTCTGTCTTGATTTTGCTATGAACAATCGGACTAATGGCGCACGTCTTTACCGTCTACACGACGATATATGGTTCTGGGGCAGCTCCTCCGTTTGTGTATCTGGCTGGCAAGTTATGCAAGAATTCGCCTCTCTCATGGGGCTCTCTTTCAACGCTGATAAGACGGGTTCCTGCACTGTAACTCGCCATCCTACCATCATCACCCCGCCTCCTGCGTCGCTACCGCAAGGGCTTGTTCGTTGGAGCTTCCTGTATTTAGATCCTCTTACTGGACGATTTTTGATTGACCAAAAACTAGTCGACAATCACGTCAAGGAATTAAGTCTTCAATTAAAAGCCTGCAAATCCATATTCGATTGGATTCAAGCTTGGAACATCTACGGTTCTCGATTCTTCTCCACGAATTTCGGCCGACCAGCCCACTGTTTCGGACTCGCCCACGTCGACGATATTCTCACCACATTTTCGCGAATCCAAACCCAACTCTTTTCCGAAACCGGTGGTTCCGTCACCTCTACTCTCAAGTCCATGCTCCATTCTCGCTTCGGTGTCGAAAATATCCCAGAGGGTTATCTCTATTTCCCCATGTCCATGGGAGGTCTCGATCTCAAATCTCCTTTCGTACCGCTTTATCTTATCCGCGACCAGGTCATGAAAAATCCAGATGAAGCTATGGATACATTTTTCCAGAAAGAGCGAGCTGATTACGAAACCGCGAAAAAGGTACACGAAAATGGTGATTCTATGCTTGCACGCAGTGGACTTAAACACGATCCGGCTCTTGAAAGCGTCGGCTTTCCATCGTTTGAAGAATATACAAAGTATAGAGAACGCACGTCGAGCCCTTTGCATGCTGCGTACGATGTGTTGAAGTCTGAGCCCGAGGAATGTCGGGTTGATGTTACGGTGGGGAGAGAACTGTTTGAGAAGAGAGGGAGACAGCGGGAGGAAATGTCGGAATATCAGAAGTGGATTGTGCAGTTGTATGGATCGGATATGGAGGAGAGATTTGGAGGGTTGAATGTTGTGGAGAAGGGATTGCTTCCTACGGGAATGGTGGGGATGTTTAGAGAGAGTAGGTTTAAGTGGCAGGGATGAGGCTGAAGATGCGGATGGGTGATTGTGTCGTTGCGTAAATAAGGACACTTTCACGCTGATACCACAGTTGTAGTAGAAAGATAAAAACGAATAACCTTTCCACTACACAATAAAAGCTTAGCTCACGTTTACTTCATCTAGGATCATTCTCCATTCTATCCCCTGCTGTTTCACTCTTCTAGATGATATGAAACGAACGAGAAGACGTTAAACTCTGTTAGATATCAAAACCAAACATATCATTCATCGATATAAATTGTAATAAAACGCAAGAGTGCCACTATCCCAAAATAATCTTATTATACCTATATAACAAACTTACCACTGAGAGAAATCCTGAAATCTGAACATGAGTTGAAATTTCCGTGCTTTTTGGACGAAATGATAGATAATATATAATATAAGAAATATAATATAAGAAATATAATATAAGAAATATAATATAAGAAATAAAATATGAGAAACAAAATATGAGAAACAAAATATTCCAGGATAATCACAATAACACTACAAAAGGACATAGCGTCAACTCGTATCTAGTATAATTGATATATTAAAATTAATATGCAAAGACTGCCGCTCTTGTGATTTTCTCATGGGTTTGGAAGGGAGGAGAAACTTACTGAGTCCGATTTCGAATTCGATTTCGACGAGAAGAGATGAAAAGAGATCTTATTTAATAGGATAATTGATATTTCTATGTCTACAGCTTTAGTGTATGATGTGGATAGTACGATGCATCGGGATTTATTGTTTGAAGGATGAGAGAGGTTCTTAGTATGCGTATGTGTTTATGTGTGTATTGCAATAACTTGGGCAGAGGATATTAAAAAAAAAAAAAAGTCTCTTTCGAGGCGAAGACTTGAATTTTTAGATTCTCTAAAGGACTGGGGAGTTTTGACTTCTGGGGTAGAGACTGCTTGGTCTGTGAGCTAATAGAGTCACTTTTATAGATACCTGTAAGGAAGTCATGTCTATCGACCCCGACATGAACCTCAATTATATCCTACTCGATATGACTATTCCACGCATTCTAAACCTTCGAAGCCTCCTCATACTTTCAATTCCTCTTCAGTCAAAGGACTCAAAATTTCATTCAAAATCGTCCCCGCATCCCCCAAAAACAACCAATCATTCTTTCCCAAACCCCCCGCACTACCCAATCCCTCCGCATCCATATTAATCACCGCAACCTTCGCACCCGCATCACGAGCTACATCTACATAACCCGCTGCTGGGTAAACTTTCGCTGTGGTCCCAATAACTAATATAAGATCGACGGGTGCTTTACCGATCCAGCGATCTACCTCATCTAGAGTGTCATTTGGGAGAGGCTCGCCAAACCAGACGATATCTGGACGGAGGAGAGCAGTGGTGCATTTGGGACAGTGGGGAAGCTCATCTTTTTTAATGGTATTTGTGCTTTTGTTCGGATCGAGGAAGGTGATCATGGCTTGCTGGGAGTGTGTTAGCTATGTGTAATGTTGGGGAAGCTGCATCTTACTTGGACTTGTGGCCCAACTCTGGATAACATTGCAGGGCTTAGGGTTAGGGGAAGGAAAGTTCTCACTGTTTCGTTGGCTGCTGCGGGTAAAAGTTTCTCGTCATCTTCGCTGGTGATTGCGATGGATGGATGGAAAGGATCGTCGAAATTGTTGCGTTCGCGGTAATCACAAACTGGATCGGCGCATTTGATGTCGTAAAGACATCCATGGAGAAGTTTGAGTGAACCTTCCGGATGACCTGCGCGTTGAGCCAGACCTGACAGAATTAGGAAAGGTTCTAAGTACCGCTACAAGTAGATTTACGTAGCTGGGAATATGGGTATTAAACCGAAAAATTATTTGGGACGATTGCCACTTAGCAACTCACGCTTCTTTCTAGAAGCAGTATATTTTGAACACAACATCTGATAGCAACGAAATGCATCTCTCCTAACTCACCATCAACATTCTGCGTCAAACACACAAATCCCTCTTCATCACCTCTCTTCATCCTCCTCGCCAACTCAGCCAGCGCAAAATGTCCCTTATTCGGCTCAGCCGCCAAAGCCTTATGACGCCTATACGAATAGAACAACCAAACCAACCCTGGATCTCTAGTAAAAGCATCCATGGTAGCGAGATTTTCCGCTCGATAATTGCGCCATAATCCACCTTGTCCCCGGAAAGTATCAAGACCAGAAGAGGCACCAAGACCGGCACCGCAAAGAGCGAGAACCCGCTTAGAGGAAGAGAGTACCTTTTTGAACGAGGCTATATCGCTGCTGGGCCTGTGACCGGGTTTGGAGCTGGCAGCGCGTCTCATAGGCACAGGGTTTGCGGACGCCATTTTGAATATAGGAAGCTGATTTAGATATCTTGGGATAGCAGATAGTTGCCGTGATCTTGGAAGAGTTTGTTGAAGATTTTGGGGGCGCAGGAGCATTATATATTATAGAGCTTTGTGTGAGGCTTAGAGGCGCAATCTGTGCTGTGGTTGCCTAAGTAGCGATTATTTTGAATACCGTGACTACCATGCCGAAATGGAATAGCCTTGGCAGACTCACTCGTATAACCTCAAAACATGCAGTGTAATACTGTGGAAATGTCAAAGAGTTACCTTGGTGGCGTGGGGGATTTGGAGATACTGAAGGTTGACCATCTCACGGGAGTTCCTTATCAATGATCACGTGGTGCATAGGATCTGACACAATTCTGACATTCGAACAAAAATCGATTTCCCGAGAAGATAACAAGGTATTATTGGATTTACATACATCATTCAACTGAGCGATCATTGTGGTTACTTCCGGGGCAGTTGAATCTTCCGCAGGTGAAGGCACAACACTACAGCTGTTGGAGCTTGAGCAGATAATAGAAAACCTTGTTACCTTGTTACCACTCATCTCCTGAGACCGCTACAGCTACTAGTCTACCTACCTCAATCACAACGAAGCATAAGATAAATGCCAAGGTAGGATAAGGGTTCTTGAACATGAGACGGAAGCTGAAGCGACGAAATTGAGATGTGAGCCGGGGAAAAAATACTCAGCTTGAATATTGGCGATATCTCAACACCCTTGATCTGGAATCTAATGTTGAATGGGTCTCCAATTGCCCCTATACCTAAACGAATAATCATCGCCCATTTATACTGTTGTAATTCAGTAATAGAAAGTAGCAGATGAAACATACTCCAAGTCCCATTGCACCTCCTACCATGATGCAGGGCAAAAACAGTTGTCGTTGGTCTTTGATCTTTGATGGAAGTATGGTTTGCTTCATAAGGCTTGATAACATATAAATGCTTAAGCACAGCTCGTACAATTCATGTCGGAGGTCGGGAATTTGAGAGCGCTGATGATGCCTTGCAATTAGCCTACAAATTGACCAGTAGATTGATCTGCAGAAACTGGGCAAGCTGAAGAGACTCAAGTAATGTATTTTGAATGAATGCTGAGACTTGGGACAAGAGTGGTTCTTGTCTCCAAAAGTTCTTTCTGTTGCAAAGAAAGTTGCTTTTCATTTGCTAATTTACTAATGGTCTGTGAAATACTAGGTTATGCAAATCCACCTCGTTTGATAAGCTTCTCACTGTCACCGATAAGACTTGGTAAAAAAAACACATCGTCATTCAGATGTGCAACAAAACTTTTGGGAAATCGGTAATTTCCGTCTTGGTTCATGTCCGACAAGTCCGGCAAAGAACAAAGGGGGTGATTGGAAGGATATAAGGAAAAGGACTAACTCGCCGAATTCCTGCCTCCAATCCAATCGCCAAAACCCAGCAACAGAACCGTGTCTCGGAATGAATACACCTATTGCAATTTGCGCAAAAGATGTTGCTGGCTTATTGAGGTCTTGATAATAACAAAGTGCCACTCACTTGATGACTTTTGAAGGGTCGTGTTATGGCTGACCGGTATTGGCTCGTGCGTCAAGGTCGGTTCCACCCCAAGAGAATTGACCAGAAGGCTGTGTCAGGGCACCTTGCAGGGCTAGACGATACGAACTTACTGTTGATGTGTAAGCTCCCTGTGGGACTTTAACATATCCTCATGCGGAGTTGGCTGGCTGGTACGTAGATAGAAGTTGGAGAGCCTCTTGAACAATGAAAACGTAGTACCTCTTAATCATTTCAAGCCTGCTTGGAATGTCCTCTTCATTGTCTATTGACACTGCATATCCCGACAGCAAAAGCGTATTGAAAGTATTGTCCCACGAAAACCCAATGTTACAGTCCGATCTAGATGATTTACCGCGCATCCATGATAATCAATCATCGGAATCATAGTCGACCAAACCAACTACTTTTCTTGTAGATGGAGCCTCCTCAAGATCAGGGTTAGATCTTTTCCTCTTGACTCCGGCCAACAAAGTTTTTGGCGTGTTTTTGGCGCCGTTTGGCTGGTTGATGATGAGAAATGGATCAATCGCAGCTCTGGTATTACCTCTTATCTCAGCCACAGCATTCTCACGTTGTTTTGCTACTATTGCCTCAGCCTGCTTTCTCCGTGAGAGCTTTGAACCCTTTCTCTCTGCTTTGGACGATGGGTGATCGTTCTCAAATAGAGGCTTCGAGATTGCTTTAGTAATACTGGCATGAGAATCATTATCCCCAAATTCAATGAAACCAGCTTTCTGTGCATCCTCCTCTTGTTCTGGCAACAAGTCAAGGCCTAAACTCATTTTATCTTGTAATGCAGATGCTACGCCGGCCTCTTTTTCTTGCGTCTTCCTCCCTTCTCGAAAAGTGTTCCTTAATTTTCTATTCCTTTCATAGGGGTCTTCCCATTGGCTGGAAAGATCTTGTAACTCTTCTAGTCGTTTCTTGCTACCTACTAGCCTTTCCCTCTCCTCAACTTTCCCCTCTAAAGATGCAAATGCATTATTTCTTAGCTTTTCCCTTTCATCCTCGGACAAAATCTTGAAATCCCCTTCCATGACTTTATCCTCGCCTGTATCTCGTTTTCTCGCCCCTTCAGTAATCACATAGGCTGTATTCTTTGGATCCGTCCGTATCTCAATCCAACCACCACAAGGAACATGTTTCATGCGAAAACTATAGATCGGGGTGGAGAAATAGTTGCCTACTTTCTTTTTCTCTGCGTTGAACCGCACTCCTTGTCCTATTATTGTAGGCTTCGGACAGTGTGTGCACCAGATAGGATATGGCATCTCGAATCGTACTGTTAAGATACCCTGAGAAATCTTATTCGCTCGAGCCCCCAATGCGTGCTTCCCATGCAACTGGTTTCCACTCATCAATCCCTCCTGATCCGGAGGGACATAACGTCCCATATTGAAGCCTTGCATCTTTGTTGTTTAGGAGGCTAGCTCCCTGGTGATGGAACCTATGTGGATTGTGGAAAACTGTCAATCATCCGTCGGTTAGCATGTACTGGTGTAATGCCACAGAATTTCTGGTCCTTTCTTAGGCTTGAGTATTCAACGTGCGAACCAATTTCTGAAATGTAGGTAGGTTGGCAAACTCGAGAGGTCGTTGTGACAAAGATCGCGATGAGGAATTCCCAAGATGGTAACTTGTATCGGCTCTTAGTAGGCCCGTGTCACGTGTCACGTGACTGTTCAAGATTAGGTTATCACGATCGCTGCCCAAGATTTAAACATCTCATTGTTTCCATCGACAACACACGTCCTTGTTAGTATCGTTTTGTGACACTTTTGTCTCCTATAGTTTCCGAAAACCAGCATTTACATTCTACATTGCAATAAAGACATACATTCAAGTCTATCTTTCAATAAACAGTGAAGACACCTAGACCTACCATGTCGGAACTTGCGGGATTAGAGAATGATATCAAGGAGTATAAGCTGCAAGTAAGTTCACGGGTTATCATTCTGATTTTGTGCTTATTTAAAATGCTGATATTGTTATAGCTAGAAACTGTTCAGTTGGGGCTTCAAGCTGATCCTGATAATGTAGAGCTTCAGACCCTAAAGGCTGAACTCGAAGAAGTCATTTCCCTCACCGAGTCCACGATCGCAGAACTAAAGCCAGCTCCAGCACCAGTAGCCCAACCAATAAAATCTTCGGAACCGCCAGTCAAGGAAAAGTGGTCGCGAGAAAACCACCCTGCCTTCAAGAAAGCAGCGCCACCCCCAGCAGAAGAGCCTGAAGTTGTCACAAGCTTTTCAGTCAACGATATGGTATTGGCAAAATGGCATTCGGGCGACAAAGGGTTTTACCCGGCTCGAATCACATCTATAACTGGCTCGTCCACATCTCCTGTCTATATTGTCAAGTTCAAAAACTATGATACCACAGAGACTCTGCGGGCCAAGGATATCAAACCCATAGTCAATCCAAACAAGCGTAAAGCTGATGGTACACCAGTCGTAGCTTCGGTTCCTACACCCCCATCGACGTCGAATGTTATTTCAGCAGCCGCCGATATTGATCCAGAGCTTGCGCAGCAATCCAAGCGCGAGCCAAGCAAAGTCAGTGACGGACCCACAAGACCAGCAAAGGTACCAAAGAAGATCAAGGCAAAGAAAGAACTAGATGACGGTAAGAAGAAATGGCAAGACTTTGCTGCGAAAGGAAAATTTGGCAAGGCAGGGAAGAAGGACAGTATGTTTCGCACACCTGATGGTGTAAATGGCAGAGGTGAGGAATATTCGTTTAATCTTTTTAAATTCGTATTTTCTAACTGATTGTGTAGTTGGATTTACCGGGTCGGGACAAAGTATGCGAAAAGATCCGACAAGAAGTCGTCATATATATCAAACGAATGGTGATGATGAAGGATTTGCTTAGAGCAAGAAAGGGATGGGGAGAGAAAGGGGTAACTCTCTGCAAGTATAGGTGTTCAGGCCGGGATTTCCTTTTTTACTTTTTCTTTTTCTTTTGCATCATCGCGGACAATTTGATGGAGGCTAACATGGGCTTTGCGTACGAGGGCTAGAATTCTGGATGCTTCTTCCTCGAATGAACATAATTTCCTAACATTACTTTTATCTGATGCACAATGGAATATGCTAAAGATCGCTTTTGAATAGGACACTGAGCATCACGACCTTCTGGATATTTCTGTTTTTGACCTGACCTTGAACCAAAATTCCAGGTACGAAGAACCCTGCACTTGACGACATGGCTGGCTGCTTCCTTCTTATTGCTCTCTTTTTTATTTCATCCACCACAAAAGCTTTCTGGCGCGGCAATATTGCTATTGCCCATTGCTTGGCCCTTGACTGTAGTTATTCCTATTTGAATAAATACTGTTAAAACAAGCCAATTCTCTTTCCCACTAGTTCTGTGATTGACATAAATGCCTTTGCTCTTTCGCTTTCAGGCTCGGCTACAACTGTCGGTTTTCCCCTGTCCGCATCATCGCAAATGCTCGCGTGTAATGGTATATCCCCTAGAAATTCAATTCCATGCTCTCTACAAGCATGCGTGACTCCCGAATGTGACCCAAAAATATGTGTGCTTTTTTGACAGTGTGGGCATGTAAATAGTGACATATTCTGTACCATCCCCAGAATAGGAATATCAATCTTCTTAAACATATTGATACCTTTCACGGCATCTTTGAGAGCTATATCCTGAGGCGTCGACACAATTACCGCTCCTGAAAATACTTAGTACCCTCACTCGACATGAAGAATGGACTTACCATCAAGTACAATTTGCTGCGTTATAGTCAACTGAGTATCTCCTGTTCCTGGTGGTAAATCGAGAACCAAAATATCCAATCCACCCCAGTCGACCTCGTGTAGAAGTTGCTGTAATGCTTTCATGACCATCAATCCACGCCATACAACAGGCGCTGCATCACCCACTAAATAACCCATCGACATAGATTTTACGCCATAATTTGAGAGGGGTATTAGTTGATTGTCTGCCGACCAAACATCAGACATGTCTCAACTATTGCATTTAGACCAAAGACGCACTTGAAGATAATCTGGGCTCCCCCGATAGATTGAGTAATGTGGGTATCGAGGGGCCAAAGATATCTGTATCTAGAATACCACTTCGCAGACCACGGCGAGCAAAAGCAAGTGCAAGATTAACTATTCTTCAATCAGTAATTTCTGAAACGAGATCAGTAGAGACTCATACCAGAAAGCGTCGATTTTCCAACTCCTCCTTTCGCAGATGAAACTGCAATAACCTTTTTTACATCTTTTATCTTCCTTCTTTCAGGCAATCCACGCTGCATGCGCGGAATGCTGCCAGTTCGTGGTAATCCCTGATATGCACCAACAATCAATTTCTCATGTAACTTCCCTTACTTCAAACGAGTTTAACATACCAATGGATTCTCATGTTGCAACCTCCGCAGAGTAGAAAATAATCGTGGCTTCATTTTGTATCAATGCTGAATTGAAGCTCCAACAAGGATGCGATGCTTTTGAGCGGATATGCGCCCGCTAGCGCGCCAAGATCGTGGGGAGCTCCAAAATAATTTTTTGGATTGAACTTCTGCGGAAAAACACAAAATTCTCAAAGTTTGAGAGAACAGTAAACAATATGGCGATACCAAAGAATCTGGCAAAACAGATTAAGGAATTGGAGGATTCTGTTCCTAAGGGTAAGTTTACATACTTGACTAATATGTAGGGTTCATCTTGATTGACCGGTGTTCTTTTGGCAGATTTCGATCCGGAAGATGATAAGCCGGCGCAAGAGAGCAATTCGGAAAGTGGTGATGAGAGTGATGATGGATTAGCGGGGACAGAACATTATGTTCAAGTTGGGTAAGAAATTAATCGACTTCCTGTTGATGGACTTTTGTTGACTAAGTATTATAGAAAGAGTAAGCTTCGAAAACCAGAAGAAGTTGCTCTTGGACCTCACTACGCCGGATCTCGAGTCAGTCGCGAACAATTGATGAACGGCGATGATGAGGATGAACCTAATTCGACATATGGAGGTGCTGATGAAGAGAAATTTGAGGGAATGGATTTTGATGGAGAGTTTGACGATATGGAGGTCGATAGTGATGAGGCTTTGGGGGAGAGTGACGAACAGAGGCTCACGGACTTCGTTTTCCGAGGAAGTGGAAAGCCAAAGAAACCTGCTGAAGCGAAAAAACCCGTGGATATCAATGGGGTGAAGAAAAGGCCTACTGCTGCTGATTTCATGTCGGATAGTGGTGATGAAGAGCGCGTGAAATTATCTGATGAGGAAGACGATCAGGAAGCTGATGATAACGAGGATATTGAGGATGAGGACGCTGATGAGACCGATGAAGATATTTTGAATGTCGACGCTCAACACGTCGAGGCCCATGGAAGACATCTGAGAAGATTCTGACGAAGAGAATTCGAAATACTCCTCTAGAGTGGTGAGGAGGGAGTTGGCCGTGACGACGAGAGTGACAAGAGCAATCCGATGACGACGGAAATGATGAGGATGAACAAGCGAGGCGTGCTGATTGCGAAGATCATGGGCGAGAACAGAAAACAGTTGTCGCACGATTTC